TACGTACTTACCTGCAACCTATGCGTAGGTTATATAAAATGCGATCGTCATAATGTTAATAATTTTATTTTCATTGCTATTTAACTAATTTCTGTAAACAAGTTTTACTGAACGTATCTTGAATTTATCAACTTCTCGTATTCAAAAAATATATCATCAATATTTTACACCCAGCGTCACCTACCAAATTGTATCAGAAACATTATTATTTCCCAAACCCATTTCAAATTTCTTCTATACCGATAACGAGCACTAGCTCCGCCTACCTCTGTTTTACATTTAAAGCGACAAAGAGAGAAGTATTGCGTTTAATAAGGTTCAGAGAAAGATAAAAGACAGAGACAACTGTTCCCTGTCAACTCGGATCTCTGGTTGGTACTCTGTGCCCATGACTAATGACTATCCATACGAGTAACTAAATAAGAGAGTTTATTTCCTTGTCTTTCATTGGAAGCATCACTTGCTCCAGACACAACTGGCGCCATCTTACATCCGGCCTGTGAACAAATAGCAGCTGGAACACAAAACGGAAACTGCAGTGACCGTGCTAGCCGTCTTTGGTTTTAGAATGTAGTTCAAGAACTATGCAATACATGTCGCTTTAGTACGCTGCACTTGGCGGCAAATTTAAATATACCATAATATTCAGAGTGCAACTTATATATGGAATAAAATTCATATTCATTGACTACAAAGCTTTGTAAAAAAATATCAGTTCTAATGTAAAAATTGACCAGATTTTTTTTACAAAATTATGTAGTCAAAGACAAGAATTTCATTTAATGTAAGTTACACACAATAATGGTATAAAAGATTGACTTTTATAGTAGGTATATCCATTAAGAGGCTATTATTGTTTTTCACTTTTTAAACAATGACTAAAAAATGCATAAGCAATTGTTTTTTAAATGCATGTACTTAAATTTATTCTGTTATAAATAGGAAAAGAAGATAATTACTAGTAATTAATAGTGATTACTGTGATACAAAATAGACATATACTTACCTTTCCCCTCTTTATGAAAAATATTGTTAGATACATTTATTTCAAACTATATTGGTTCTCATCAGTACGATGCATGTACTACTGATTATTATTTTCTGCGAAAATTTAAATACAGATAGTATGAGTAACAAATATCAGTAGAAACGTAGACATATGTATCTACCATTACTTAAAAAGAAACTTAATATTCATTAAAAAATCCAAAAATCCGTTTTTTGTTGTCTACTATTCGACATACAAGTGAAGTTTTGACAAAATGAAGTATTAAGGGAAGTACTTACACAACCAGTATTTGAATCTGCTTCATCCGGCACCTAGATAAATGTTGATCCGGCATGGTATCGTTAACAATAACAGTACTAGTACTTGCAGTGGTATTTAGAGATGACAATTTGGAATAAGTGTATTTTAGTTTTTTAAATGGTGGTTCTGGAAAATCATCTAACATTGATGTTTGGCATTTATTAATTTTGGCATTTTCTAATGTTTCACTAACAAACTGTTTAACTGACTCTAGAGTAGTTTTCAAGTAAACGTTACTATTAAGAGAATCTAAATGTGATGATATACTATTTGATTCACTAAATATTGTTGGCACTGCATTTTTGTTGAGGCTATTCTTCCTACTATTTCTAAAACATTTTAATTCAAAGTGGTCTTCGCAAAAATAACATTTTTCGTTGATGAAGTTAAAATCTGGTTTACATTCTATCCAAATCATTTTCCTGTCTGCACTCTGCAGTAACTCTGAAAAAGCTTTTATTTCTGTAAGAAGTATCTGTGGTATATAAATAATATGTATTCTTGCAGTTTGGTGCACAACAGTAACGTGAGATCATTCCAGACATTTTCTATTAAAAAGTAAAACAAGCAAAAGCAGTAAGACAATTCAGATGAACGATTCAACAATTATAATTATCTTCTTGCGTTACATTAAATTTTAGTCTAAAATAGAAAACAATTATTATCAAAAGCACGGTAACTTACGAGTTAATTAATCATAATACAACCACTTTCTAATCTGTGAATACAACATAGAGAAGAAATAACCTCAAACCTAATCCACGAACACATCCCCTTTGTGACCTAACTTTCAATACACGTATTCTTTCGTATTGAACAAAGTGATTGAAATCAACAGTAAAGAACCAATCATGATTAAGAATTTTAAAAATGCTGTATTATGATTGGCTAGTTACCGATTGCAATCAGTTTGTTCAGCTTCCACACGAAAGAATACATGTAATATCATCAAATTTTTTATTTTTTCAGCGAACTCTATAGGTTGTAATAACAATAATACTTTTCTGTTCAAGTTAGTATTACAGTTTTCGATACATAAATAGTGCTAACGATGGCGTGTTTTCCAGGCCCATTGTCAGGTGGCGCTCGTACATTCATGATTCTGCTCTTCCTATCCTTTTCACGTCTTATTTATTTAGTCATATGTGACTATCTCAAATTAGTGTTCCAGATAACTATCATCACATCACATTTTACATAAATTTTTGTACTTTTAAAAATTCAATATTTGTAAAATGCCAATACCTATAAAGGTAAGAAAAACATTTTCTTAGGTTGATCATTACAGTATGTTTTATATATAAGCTTAAAATGTTATTTTGTAGATTGGAATTATAGGGGGTTCAGGTTTTGATGATCCCGATATATTCAAAAATAGAAAAGAAAAGAACGTTTGTACTCCATTTGGTAAACCATCAGACGTTTTAATTTTAGGGGAGATTGGAAATGTACCCTGTGTGCTACTGGCAAGGCATGGACGTTCACATGGTATAATGCCAGGAAATGTTAATTACAGGGCTAATATTTGGGCATTAAAAGAAGAGGGTTGTACACATATACTTGCAAGTACCGCAACTGGTTCATTACAAGAGCATCTTGACAAAGGAGACATTGTGATTTTAGATAGTTTTATTGATAGGTAATAGAAGACTTAGTAATGTCAAATTATAGTAAAAATTTAGTTATGGCTGTGTTCAGCCACATATGTTTGCTTAGTCCTTAGATACAGCGTTCGCTAGTATCTAGCATATAGAGGTGTGCTAAATGGTCAAAATCGCAGCATAAACTAAGTTTTGAAGCAGTTTTATCCTGGGCAAAGAAAAGTGGGCAATGCAGTTTTAATAGATTTATGAGAAAACAAAATGAATATAAATAGCTGAAGCAGTTGAAGTGATTTGACAGCAATAGCTTAAAGATTTAGGTTCTATAGTATATTTATAATTTTCCAACTTTATATGTAGATATTTCCAGTAACATTAAAATATAAATCTTGCACTTTATAAAATATATTTGACAATATATAGGTCTGTTCAGTATTTGGGAGCATGTAGACTGTTCAGCTACTTGAAGCGGCTGAGTGTAGCCATATTAAGGTTTCACAAGACTAGTATTACATACTTTTATTTTCCTTCCATATATTCTCTATTTTAATTCACAAGAAATGTTTCGGAGTACATTTCAAACACTGAAAAAATCTTTAAAAATGAAGATACTGTTGAAATGATAGGTATTAAAATAAAATATGAAAAATTATTAAAAATTTGCAATATATTGATAAAAATTTTCAAAATATGAAAAATTTTCATTGGTTTAGTTCAAAATATATAATTTGGTATATCAAACTAATCTAGATTATTAAAAAGTACAAAGTACAGTTGCTGAGATATGTTTAATAAACGTTTTCGATTCTTACCAGTGTTACTGTTTTTTAGGGGATGTATTTTAGCTCAAATAGAAAACACTAATAAATAATTTCAAATGAAATATGCAAAATGAAAACTTAAAATCGTCGTTGACCACATCGTGATCTTGAATAGGGGTGTACAGTGTAATTAAAATGCTTGGCCTCCATGATATTGATTTCAGTTCTTGTTGTTGTCGGCTGTAAGGCTGCTATGGTTGGAACTATTCTGATCAGTTACAGAGACCACTACGGAATGAACGAAGATTATTATGTTAATTTCTGGAACTAAATAATCAAAAATCAAAAAATTGTTTCATCCTTTTTCTAGGAATTTACTAAAAAAACAAATTTTTTCTCAAACTTTAACGCTTTTCCAAGTATTTTAGTTATACTGTGTATGTCTGAAATAAATTTTTTCAAAATCAGCTGATAGATGCAAACATTTATTTCCTTATTTTTTTAACACAAAAACATTTGATCTATTAAGAGATTATGAAAAAAATTACTGGTTGGCTCATTAACACGTTGAATGCGTATGGTGCACCTATTGCGTCATTAGGCGTGGATTCCCATGTGTGAGTGATGCACCTGGTGCATCAACTTTTGGTGTTACCAGTTGCTCTAGTAGTGACCAAGAAAATTTTCCACACTTCGATTTGTGGAATAAAGATTTCTGAATTTGTTACCAGTGCACACACACCTGGTGCGTCATGCAAAAATTGAACACTGTGAAAATTATGCTTTTTGAAAAATAAAGCATTCAGCACAGGATGCTACAAAAATGTAGGGAAGGAGTTAATTACATATATTTTGGGTAAACGGAATGGGACTTTTTTTTTCAACAAATGCAGTGTCAAAATTATGTTTTAAAAAAAGGTTTTTGTTAATATATATTTTTTGAAACGTCCAGTTAAAACTTTGCATGAAATTTGGTCCTATGCCCACACATTTTTTGTGTAATTTTGATAAAAAAGTGTTGAAGTGCGACTTTTTTGTTACACAGGCTGATGATTTGAATCTATGGTGTTTTGGACCAATTATATCTAACTACTATTTTCACTTGTAAAATTTTGATTTCGTTTATTTTGATTTTCTTTGAATATGTGATATCGCCTTTAATTCCTTAATTTCTCATAAACAACATTCTTCCCAAAGGGTTATGCCATTTTTTTTTTAGACTGCTGAGCCTTAAGCATTAAAGTAAACAAAAATAGTTCGATTAGATATTCAAAGAAGTTGCAATATCTCGAAAACCTAATCCTAAATAAAAACTACAAAAATAAAAAAAAGTAATAGACACTTGGTATGAAAAACAATAACTTTGACCGGTAGACGTGCAAATTCTATTCATCCATTCGTGCTTCAGTGTCCTTAACCAAGATTTCATAAAAATCATGCCAGCATGAGATACAAGTCTACAAAATTTTACTGTAGTATTTTAGATGACAAGGTGTTATTAATAAAAATGCTTCATTTAAATAAATTACAAAGAAAATCCTATTATTTTTGATTCCCTGTTTGATCTACTTTTTTTTGTAATATCCTGTAGCCTTCTATATGTGCTGTATTAATTATAATCTTTCATGTCATAATCTACACTGATGCTTTTTTTTGTGAATATTTTCAAAAAACAGAATTTTGTGTCCAAAATCTAACTACATACCTTAGTAAGCATCGCTTAAAATCAGAGTATTTCACCAAATTATTTATAGTACAGAGTAATTTTTTTGTGCATTCTTAAAATTTATTATTATTATACTTATTTTACTACTTATAAGTTATTTTCACAATTTTACTTCCATAAGCAGATTCTGTTATATACCAGTTATCAGCATTGTCGGTAATTGACTAATTTTTCATCCCGAGAAAATTTATTATTTAATTTATATTTTAAAACAGAAACCTTATAAATTTAAACATTTTATAAATTGATGGGGTTCAGAGGTTTTATATGATGCTGATTATTCATATATTTTATAAAAAATGTTGTGATTTTCTGAAAATCACAGCAGGCCATGATTTACCAAATGGATCACCGTACTTGTTTCAGCAAGTACATCTGTGGCCTACTGTATAAAAAAATATATATTTACGTGCCTTTCAAATAATTTTTGGTCCTGGTTTTTAATGGGCAACACTGTATATGTGCTACCCTTTTCAAGACTACTATCCCAATTTCAAGTTTTATTTTGCAAAGTTTATTTGATTTTTTTTTATTAATCTATTATCTCCTAAAATATCGTATAAGTTACTTCATTACGAAAACATGATTATTTCATTTTCACCAGATATTGCTGATACATTTTAAAATTATTTTAAGTAAGCTTTATAACAATGATTACCAATGTGGTCTATATAGACCAAGGGTCGGCAACTGGCGGACCGCAGTCCAGGTCCGGACCGCGGAAGGTAAAATACTGGACCGCCAAAAATTTTTTTAAAGTACAAATTGCTCAAATAAATTATTTAAAAAATGTTTTTTACGTTTAAGTGCCAATCTTATCATTTTTTCCAGTATTTTACAATTGTGTGTGTTTTGAGTTCTTAATGGTTAGTAAGCAGATTAAATTTGAGTCCAAATTAAAATAAAAAATAAGAAATGTAAATTTTTTTTCTGGACCTCGTTAAAAATTTTCGAAAGTATCCGGACCCCACCTAAAATTACTTGCCGACCCCTGATATAGACCCTTAGGGGTTGATTGCACACTGCAAGGGATCCATGTTGGTCAAAACAAAAATAGGGGCTGCATAAGATATTCACAAATATGGATCCCATTTAAGCAGGTTGTGACCGAAATTTTGGCTTTCGACAAAATAAAACGTTGAAGATTTGGAGCTAGATTTGGGGGACTTTATGACTCCATGCTTTAATCATGGGAAAATTCGAGATTAACGATGAGATCATTCTCCAATGACAGGTCAAACGAATAATTTAATTGCTTTGAATTTTAATTAATGTTGTTAGAATCTGGAGTTCAAGCGACCTATTTTCGTCTTACTTATAAATTATTATTATACTTCTATTTTTTTAAAAATTAATGTTATAATATATAATTAATATTAATATAAATAATAAAATTATTATTATGCTTCTACTGTTTAAATTTAAGCTAATATTTTCTTATATATCAAATTGTTTCATAGTATACAATTATTTTATTTACTACAGTATATTTCTTAAAATTGTGTAAGTTGGCTATTCGCTTTGTGCTCGCAACACTTGTAACTTGTAAAAACTTGGACTGTGTCAGCTGTTAAAAACACATTTGAAGTTGATGAATTTGTAACAATGCTATATTAGAAAGGCAGGGGTCTACCCTAAACAGAAAAAATTGGCATGTGATCTAAGTACGTGACAAAAAAAGTTTGGGGACCTCTGCTTTAAGTAGCTCTCAGACGATCAATGATATTATATTTTCTTTTTGTCGCTATATTGGTTATAGACCTCACACGGCCAATATTGATATCAATATTCATTCTTCCACGAAATGGGGTGTGATTTGAAAAGATGGCTAAAAACAGAAAAAAAACTTGTCTAGTATAATTTTATTAAGTTTATCTGATTGTGAGAAAAAAATAAAAAGGTTACACTGGCAAAAAATGGTTATTGAAAAGAAGTATGCACCCATTTACATCTATTACATTCTATTAGAGAATAGGACTGAAGATTATCGGAACTATTTTTATAGCGATTATATTAAGAAACATAATACAAATATGAGACAGGCATTATCAGCGAATGCAAGGTTAGCGTTAACGCTTATATTTTTGGCAACTGGCAGATCATTTGAGGATCTAAAATTTTCTACACTCGTCGCCCCAACGATGATGAGTGAAATTGTTTTGGAGACTTGTGAAGCCATAATTCATGTCTTGAAAGAATACATTTTTTTTTCAACTCTTCTATATATAGTTTGAAGCGAATTTATTTTTTTTCTACGTCGTCGATAGTTGCATTTCTTTTTATAAGTTTTTAATAACTTTTTGTAGCCAATTGTCTTTTTGTCTCTATTACTATAGTCTTTTGAAGATGTTTCCCATAACTCAGGTATGTCATGGGAAGCCGTGACATACCTGAGAGTAAGCTGTTCCATAAAGCATTTTTATTCGTTTCATTCTCAGTTTCGTTGACTTGGGAACCAGGAGAAGTCGCCGGTGACGTTTCTTCCATCGTGTTTGGTAAATACTGACGCAATATTATCAATTCAGTCCTCACACGGTCAATATTTCAATATATTGGCAATACTTCCATATTTTATCTCAGACAATTGATCGTCTGAGGCCCGCTTTATAGTGTTCCAATTAACGTTTTTTTATAAATCGAAACAATTTTAGAACAACAGGCCGCAAACAAACTTTTTACGATGGAGAGCCAGGCCACCCTAACGGTGTGTGTCATATACCCATGGAGCCTGCTTATTGTCCAAAAACTAGAGAGGTGGTGATTAGTGTTGCTGAAGAACTCAATATTAAAGTACATAAGAAAGGTACTGTTGTATGTATTGAAGGTCCTAGGTATTCGAGTAAAGCCGAGAGCATGATGTATCGATTATGGGGAGGAGATGTTGTTACTATGACGGCAGTACCTGAGGTGGTTTTGGCAAAAGAGGCTGGAATATGTTATACTTCTATTGCTTTAGTGACTGATTATGACTGCTGGAAAGACTCTGGCGATAAGGTTTCTGCCAGCGAGGTTGTGAAAACATTTAAAGAAAATATTCGTAAAATAGCATCATTAATAACAACTGCTATTCCAAAGATTGCAAGTTTAAATTGGGATCAGACAATTACAGAATTAAAGGTTACATTAATGGTAATGTATTAAGGGATACCAATAATATATATTTGTTTCAGGAAATCGCCGAAGGTAGTCGCCAAGTTAATTAATTATCATACTTTTATCCTTTTAAATTGATGGTATTGATGGTATTGATTCAAATATTTATAAACATATTTAATTAATAGCTATTCTATCTCTTCAGTATTGGGATATATATACTATTGATACATTTTGAATTTTTTAAAGAAAAGTTATGGAAGTAGATGTCACATCTGTATCTTAAAAATATACTTAGTTTTTAATACCCTATGTGACTTTAATTAATTTTTTTTGTTAGTCTTCGCATAACTTTGGTACTCATTTTAGTTCGTCCATGCAAATTATTGTTAAGGTTAATTTCGTAAGTATTGACTTGATCTCATTTTTTAAAAATGTAGAAGTAAACTTGTTTAATTTTTTTTGATAATTTTGTTCAGACTGAAATCATATTGTTTATTTTTTGATATATTTATTTGATTTATTTATAAATTTTAATATAAAAAGGTTTACACACAGAGTGTCCCATAAGCTAAACCTTGCTTGGTGAGAGAATTCTTCAAAATAAGGAAAATGTAGATAACTTGATTATTAGGTTAAACTGGAAAAGCTATACAGGGTGTCCCAGAGTAACATGTACAATGGAAGACCACAGATTCATGGACTCAAAATAGGCAGATTTAGGCTAATTCACCTATATCCCAAATCGCTTCGTTTGGCCACTAGATGTCCACAAGGCTAATGAAAATTTTTAGATTTTTGTAAATAACTCGAATACCTATTAATCGATTTTGATCATTTTTGGGGTGTGAAGTTTTGTTTTCAATCTACACATTTTGGAGTTATACAGAGTGTTTTTTAAAACCTATAACTCCTAAAAAATTGACGTGTGGTGAAAATATCCGTTCATAACTTTTTCCTCTTTCGGGCAATAATGACAACTATTTTTAATTTGAGATAGCATTTGGAAGTATTTGGGACTCTTGTAGAATTTTGATTAAATGAACGGTTTGGGTACAAAAAAAAATTTTTTAAATGTCTACAATATCTTGCCACCCATATTACAATACCTAACAAATTGCTAGTAGGCACTGATTTTGTAGGTTGACTGTAATTTCAGTTTGATCTTTAAGTCATTGTACCTGACATTTCTTAATGAGTGTTTACTGCGATAAGATATACTACATGTTACTTACTTTTTCAATATGGATTCATACACATACAATGAATTAGATTTATTTACAACATGCCTAATTTTATTGAGATAATTAGTAAAAACAGTCAAATATAATAAAAATGCTGGAGATAAAACTAACAAACTTGATGTTATTTATTTTAGTACAACTTATTATAAAAACTCTTCAAAATGACCACCGTTGTTTCTACAACAAAGATTAATTCGGCAAAGAAAGTTAAAGGACACCCTTTGCAATTCTTGAAGGCAATTTGGATAGGCCTCCACAACTTTTCTTCAGTGTTAGATGTGGAAGCATACACTGTTGTTTTCAGAGTGCCCCATAATAGTCACAAGGTGTTAAGTCTGGTGAACGTAGAGGCCAGTTAACAGGAGCATTATATCTTCTACCGATCCATCGACGAGGGAATCTTTGGTTCAGATACTGCCGTTTACTGCCTGACATTTACAGTGAAATGTGGTGGAAGTCCATCATGTTAGCTCTGTGTAATAACGGCATACCTTTCAATAACTCGGGTAAAGTATTTTGCAAAAATTCTAAATAAAATTCCCCATTCAGTTTATTGGGTAGAATAACAGGGCCAGTAATAATGCTATCAATGCATTGTTTTTTCTAATTTTTGAAATAAAATTAGACACATTGTAAATAACTCTAATTCGTCGTATGTGTGTATCCATATCGCAAAATGAAGTGACAGGCGGTATATCTTATCGTCGTACACACTTATTAAGAATTGTCGGGCACAATGACTTAAAAATCAGACTGAAATTACAGTCATCCTAAAAAATTAGTGCCTATTAGCACTTTGTTAAGTATTACAATGGGTGGCACGATAATGTAGACATTTAAAAAATATTTTTTTGTACCCAAACCATTCAGTTAATCAAAATTCTACAAGAGGCGCAAAAACTTCCAAATAATACCACCTATCAGAAAAAACATAGTTGTCATTATTGTCAGAAACAGGAAAAAGTTATGAACGGATATTATCACCATACATTAATTTTGTAGGAGTTGTAGGTTTTAAAAAACACTCTGTGTAGATTGAAAGCAAAAGTCCACATCCCAAAAATAATTAAAATCGATTAATAGGTATTCGAGTTATTTACAAAATTCAAAAAATTTTCACCATCTTTGAGGCCATCTAGCGGCCAAACTAAGCGATTTCGGATATAGGTGAATTAGCCTAGATTTATCTATTTTGAACCCACGAATCTGTGGCCTTCCGTTGTACACGTTATTCTGGGACACCCTGTATAAAGTGTTGCCCCATCTTTGCTGTTTTTATACTTATTTAAGAGCAGAACTTAAAAATTTAATATTTTTTTACATAAAAATCTTCTTTGTATTTTTTTACTTAGAATTACCTATTTTCGAGTACAGATTATTTAAATTTTGTTGTTTTGATGAGGAAAGGAAAATTTTTTAATTTGTAACTGTCATTTTGACTTAAAAAGATAAATAATAAAATAAAATCACTTTTTAGCTGCATTTTAGATCCTTTGGTGAACTTAAAAGCAAGGTATCTTCATTAAATTCTTAGGAAATTATATCCCAGAATGTACAAAATCAAAGCCACGTAAATTTTAGACATGGAGTTAAAAATTTATCATTCGATTTATTTCAATACAGACCAAAACGGGTTTAACACATTTCACATGCTTGCTGCTCAAACCTTTTTATTTTTTTGCATAGGGCATAAAACAATTTAATGTTCTTAAAAGAATAGAACATTGAAATGTCAAATTGAAAAAATTGCTTAACAGTAATAGAATCTTTCAATAAAATTTTGTATAATCAAAGCATAGGAGGTTTTGATTTATAAAACAGTCTATTATTATTTTTTTTAATTGTAACTATTTCTTTTTTGATGTCCGAGATATGTTCTATTGTTTATATACACTGCCTAGCAAAAAATTGAGGTCACATTGATAATTGTAAATAATTTTCGGAGCAATAATATTAAGGATCCCATTATACTAGTAGGCGCTGAAAATTTGTTTTTAAAAACTTTTTTGTTAGTTTAATTTGACATAATGGCGCAGCTTGGTAATGATGTCATTAAAATAGTGTGCAAGCGTAGTAACTGCTATTCCACAAATTGGTGCCTAGGGTTTAGTGTAGTTTATTTACGAGTTGATTTTTCTTACTGTAAAACCTCGGTTGAAATGTGCATTTAATAAGCCATCATGGCATTTGGACCTGGCGTAGTGGCGAGAATTATAACGGTCGGGGGCAACGTGAAACAGTAAGAATTGTGGGTGTGAGCCTTTGTGGTGTACAAAGGGCATTCCAGCGCTATCAAGAGACTGGTTTCATAACCAGAAGACCAGGATTTCTTGGTGTCCACAATTTTGCGGAATAGAACAGCAACTGCGGTTCCACTTTGAAATCAACTTCAAGAAGTGAGAAATGTAAATGTCAGTGAATGAATCGTTAGAAGAAGGCACATTTTTGTAAGGAATGAGTCTTTAACAGCTCACAGGTGTATTACAGAAATTCTAGAAGATCATGCTATGCCTTTCCTGGAGCACGTCATTTTAATGCACGATAATGCTAGGCCTCATGTAGTCCAAGTTACTATAGAGTATCTGGATGAGGTCGGAATTATGGGGTTTGATTGGCCAGCTCGCAGTCCAGCCACGAATCCTATCGAACATGTCTGGGATGAGTTGGGACGACGTATTCGAAGGCGTACACCAAGTCCAAGAAGTGCCCAATAGCTGAAAGATTTGCTTTTGCAGGAGTGGAATAACATAGACCAGAATGTGATCCATAACTTAATTGAAAGTATGCCACGACAACTTCAAGCAGTCATTAACACAAGAGGAGTGAATACACGTTATAAGCGATTAGTTCGTACCAATTTTTTAGTTCCCTATTTTCCAGAATAAGTCAAAATTAGTTTTAATTAAATCTAAATTTGTTGCTTTGTTAGAATAAGATTTTAAAAATTCAATGTTTTAAAATCCATAATTTATTATTCACTTTCAGAACTTCAAAACAGAGTACAATAATCTACAATTGTGAAGTATACGTATAAAACAAAAAATTCTACAAAATGTTACAATTAATTATTAATGTGACCTCAATTTTTTGGCAGTGTATATTAAATATTGCATATTTAATCTACACCACAACTTTTAACTGTTTTTAATTGAATTCGTTTGAATAGTTAAGAATATAGTATATTTTCCAAAATATTATTAAAATCCCTTACAAATATATGTCGGTTATTGTAACTGTTGTGTTGGTGTAGTGTCACTTTTTATTGTTCGAAAACTTGGCAGGGTATGTAGACATGTACTTAGTCTTTGAGAAAATCAGTAGGTAGTTAAGTAAATTTTACTAATCTTGTGATGTATATCAAATATGTTGTTTAGAAACTGTGATTTTTCGTTAGCTTTGGTTTGATACTTTTTTAATGAATCATCACAAATACATAAATGTTATTTCAGTGTTTGGAATATCTTTGCCTTTTTCATTTCACATTTATTGTGAGAAAATATGTAAGAATTATAAAAGCATACACAAATAATACCAAAGATCTTTAAGGAGTGGATCACATAAAAAATTTGATATTAACTGATAACACCTGACTTAAATGTCAGAGACCGTTTTTATAATTCTTAGAGGTAATATTTTTTAATATGCAACAAATTTTTCTCTCAAAATTTAATTATCCCAATTCTGTAAGTTTTTTTTTTAGTTTATACAGATTCATGATTTGAGACAAAAATTGATTGCATTATTATTCACTTTTCGAATAAATTGGTTAGTTAGGCATTCCACTCGTCTAAATCAGTATTTATTTAGAATTACGATGCTAGATATAACCTGAAGACTTTATTGTAGATGTAGTTGAGTAATGATTTATATATAAATCGCATCTAAAAGATTAATTCCTAATTAAAAAAAATCAGTATTTTAAATTTATGTACTATTTTAAAAAGCCCGAGTCATACATTGTGAAATTTATTTTTTATATTCAGAATATTATTTATTATTAATTTTAGTGGTGTTGTTCAATTTTTAATAATTGTCAACTGTAATGTGTTCTGTTAAATAAAATACTGAAAAGTAAAATTTTTAAATATTTTTCTTCGAACCGACTTCCAATTTCCAATAATCAAGGTAATCAATCAAAAACTAACAATATAAAGTCAACGGTTAAGTTGAAATATACCGACTTGTAATGGTTTCATAGGAATTTGAGGTACTCCAAAATTAATAAAAAGTTAAATTTGTTCAACTCATTTTACATATTACAACTTTTGTGCATGGTGAGTAATATTTGAAAGATTCTTCTGGCCAAAACAAAGCAGATAACTGAATATATTAGAGTACCAAAATGCTTCCATAAAAACTTTTTATGATAACTTTATATTTTAAAGTACTTCAATAAAACTTGGTATACCTAGCAGTGACGCACCGCTTCACCGTTTGGTTATACAAATTAAAATTATTTTTAATTTTATATAAATTTTATAATTTAGGTGTAATTCTATATTAAAAATGTATTGTTTGTTTGTTTAATACGCAGAAATAAACAGAATAGTTGCGCCGTGAACGCCTTCTAAAAAACATTGCCTTCGTGCGAACGTCAACGTCGTACCATACAACGTATAGCAGTATCCGCAAGTAATGCAGATTGAAATCAGTCTGTATTCCGCTTCTCTTCGAAGTTGTTTACGGCGGTTGTCATGGCAACGAGGTGGCCAACACGGGAGTAAACTATGGCGAGGGGGAACGAGTGACGCAAATATTGAAGCATCGCCCAGTGCACGATTATAACGGTTCTTAGTTAATATTAGTTTTGTATTATAATTGTAGAAATATTTCCTATGTATGATCCAGTATGTATTTTATTGGAAACGCCATTTTCCAGATGGAAAATTCAGGACAAAAAGGATTTTTTAAATTGCGAGAGACCTGTGCCTTATCTTTCGATATGGAAAAAAGGACGAGTCAAAAGACAATGTGTACGTTCGGAAGTTTCGTAATGCATGGTATTCGGAGTATAAGTGGTTGTGTGGAAGTGTTTATTTAAAAAAACTTTTCTGTATGCCGTGTTTAATTGTGGGTGTAAAGCAGGGCGTGAGGGAGGAGAGATTTAACAATTTTGGGAACGTCACGCAAGGCTGTCATAACCACAAAGCTTGTTTGGAACATTCATGTAGGTACGTTGTGCATTAATGTTTGCAGAAGTCCACAAGCTGAACTAATATTTCTATTTTTTATAAAATCTAAATGAAAATCCTTCACACAAACGTCAGTTTTTCGGTAATATTACTAATGCAACTAAAAATTTCCAGATTCATTTAAAGCCGTTTGACCTTGAAAATTTTCGCCTGCGGAGCTTTTTTTTTCTTTTTAGCTAATCAATGAATATGCTTCACCTATTCTCAATGTCACGAGCCACCACTGATACCTAGGCGTTTTTTTATAACTAAACATGACTAAACCTTATTACCTAAAATTCCTTACTTTTTTTGATACATTTTTTTGGTAGGACTTTCGAAAAAATGCAAGGGAAAAAAGTCAATGTCTACCGAGATATAATGTTTTAAATTCACAGATCCTATATTATATCTCAGGTGTTGACTTTTGAGTAGGTAATACAAGAGTAAATAGTAACATTTCAAAGTACACCTCAGTTTGAACAAACTAAATTTGTTTGAAAGCCTCTAGCTTTTTTAGGAGGCACTTTGATACTTTTAAGGTATATTTGCCATGTTTCGGTCAGAAGCTTTGGTTAAATTTGTTTACACCTGGTTAGGATGCACCCTGTATAGGGCAAACTATAAACTAAAGTATTCATAACACTTCACTTGAATTTTATTTCCTCTAAGAGTGATGTCAAAGGCATTTCAGAAATGTAGTTTTCCTTAAGTATAGATTCTGTAATTTCAAATGGATGTAATTTGAATAAAAACCCCCACAAATTAATTTCTTTGAAAAATTTTCATTTTATTGGGCAAATTGTTACAAATAGTATAAAAATAATTTAATATTTTAATAATTATTTATTAGTTTAATGGTAGTAAATAAATAAAAATTTTTTAATAAAAAATTAGACAAATCTAAAACATCACACCCATATTTTGGTGTACTTTTGATAATATTTCTTATCTTTCACTTTCAGTGTCGCTTAAAATTTTATAAAAACTATGAGTTGATCAGCAGTTAGATATTATGGATTATAGTATGGTCTGAATTAAACCACCAGATGTCGTAACTACCATCAAATTAATATGGCAAAAAATTTAAATATGTAATTTTACTTTTGTCTTTCAAAAATAAATTTTTCCCCCTAAAAAAAACTCAATTAAATTTTTTTACTTCTAAAATTAGGGGGGAAATACCTAAGTTGACTACACTGTATTTTTGTGGAAGTTAATAGAATATTTAATATTTTTCTTGCATTATCAAAATCCTCAGCTTTTCTCCCGATTGCAATTTATTGAAGTTGTTAATTATAAAATTGCCCCATTTGTAGAAGAATCAATCTTTTGGTAATTTAAGGAAAACAACTGCTTTTACTTAAAAATTATATTACACTATACAAATGTGTCCATCTCAAGTATATCCAGTTTATGAAAAACAAAATGATATATAAATTATTTTGTTTTTTTTTAACCATTTGTATATATACCTAATGGAAATTATAATTCAATTAAATCTCAAGTAGGTACAATACAACTACATCAGTATCACTGAAAACTTATTGAAATAAATAAAGTTAATTTACAATATAAATACCTAATTTTAAATATATACTATGTTTAAAACAATTCTTCAAACTATTAACAATACTTCCTATATTTATATTTATAAAAAAAACTATAATACAATATTCAGTCCTCTTAGGTAATGTGTAAAGAAATTTTAATAACTAATAGTTTTGAAAAAAAAAGATTAAACTTTTCCCTTATATTTTTAACCCATTAAAAAATTATTCACTTTTTTTTATGAAAATCTAAGTTGCATAATAAAAAAAGAGAGCACAACATTTCTATATAAGTACAACTACAGTCTCAGTTTAAGTTTGTCTTTAAAGATCTGATTTTCTTCTAACATACTTGTTAAAGTAATCAGGTCGCCAGCATTTACATGATCCTGGTATAAGGAACCAGTCATAATAAAGTCTTACTTGGAAACAACCCAGAGCATCCACTCCATCACATTGCATGGGCCTTACAGTCGTAGACGTGTCACTAGAGGAAGGAAGGCCAGCCCTTTTATGGAGGTACTGCTGATAATTCTGAAAATAGTGCGAATGTATACAGGAATTATGTTTCTGTTTTTATGTTTATCGTTGTTTGTAAGTATTTATCATTGTTACAGCATTAAATATATCTAAACCAAGTGTGACAATTCTGATGATAAACTGTCTAGGCATGAGTAAAGTTTCAACAGATTGTAGGGGATCAATTAAAAATTACTTAGGCAGCAAATTTCTTAAAATTTTTTTAAATTTGTGGAAGCAAACTGTAACTTTTTCTCTAAGATAATGACACACGATGAGACTAGGATCGTTATTGGGATCTAGAAACGGAATTATAATCCATCTGGTGGATCCATAAGGGTTCTCCTTGCCTATAAAAGACTTGTATACAATCTTCAGTTGGGAATCTCTAACTATTGTCATTGGGACCAAGCAAGAATTATTCTTGTTGTATACAGGTATGCCAAAACATATCACAATAATTGGAGTATAACAAGGTTCCAGTCTCATAAGGCATATTATAGTCAGTGATGGAAATAGACCTGTGCAATCCTTAGAATAATATGTGGCCCCCTCTCCTGTTTAAGTTTGCTAATCCTTGTTTGAAGGAGGGGTTGTGGTCATTTATTAAAAATTGTTTCAGTAAAACCTACCTGGAAATCTTGAACTGAAGGTGGTTGAGAGGCAGCCACCGGATTTCTTTGTGGGTTTGTGGTGTCACTGCTACTAAGAACAGTGTCGGGGTAATAAATTTCAGCTACTAACAAACTAGACCATCTGGGAGATGATAAACAGCCTCCGTCCAAGTAGTGACATCTTTGCTGTAAGCACCTGCAATAGTTACAGTTTTTAAGCCATTTATAGTAATAAATTTACATTTTTGATTAAAGAATAGGTTAGTCTACATAGGGGTAACACTGACAATGCGATAAACCTTTAGGGTGGATTATCCTCTCAACAAAACTAACCAAAAAAGAAAAGTAAAATAAAAACGGGATACGTTTTTTTCTAAAACAATTGTTAATATCTTTTAAAGATTAGAAACAAAACATAATTTTTGATCTGTTACTTAAACAACCCCTGAAGATATAGTTTTCAAATTCGGTAACGAGCAGTTTTCTCACATAGAAGGAATTAATTACCTTCACAAAAAGATTTTACTGGTAGTATATTTTCAGAAATCTGCTAATGCACATGCACTTGAAAAGGATGTGAATGCTTTCTAATTGTGTTTGAGGGGCTTCTACTCTAAAAAGAAAAAAAGTGATTTGATGTTAAAGAGATTCTTTTTCAGATTTGGATGTACTATTTCCAGTCAAAACTTTTATGCCTCTAATGTTTTTCTTAAAGAATACACCAATTATGGTTAAAAGCGCAAAGACCATAACAAAGTTAAGAGCTTATTAATGGCAGGCCTCACAGAATTAACGTACATTTTTGTATAAACAAATTTGAATGCATTCTTACTTACGGTTTTTGGATGTATACTTATGATCAGCGCATTCAATGAAAAAGCTCAAACGACACAATAGTTTTGATTGGAATGGTCCATCCAAACATCAAATAACTTTCATTTTGTTAGTTGAAATAACTCAGACTTCTAATTCCGATCACTACCAACATTTTCATTTTATATACGAGCATATACCTATAAACAATATAGCTTTCTGAATTAGCCCTGAGTTTGTCCCACGTCGCTATTACGTCCTGTATAGTAGTGCCGATTTATATAATAAGTATTTCAGCGTTAAAGTGAAAAATAATTATTTTATACCTGGTAACCTCAACAGTTTGGGTGAAGTATCCCTCATAAGGAATCTGCACAACGTATCTCCAGATCCCCTGGTAATTTTTGGCAAAAACTGGTGTAGAATATTCTACTTTAGCTGGACAGGGAGTCGGTGGTCCTTCATACCGAGGTTGATTTAATGGCATTTCATCTCTTCGTTCTAAGGGTAAATGTGATGAACTACTAACAGGTGAAGGAACTGGTTCACCATTTATGGCTTTGTACAACATACAAAATACTCCTCCTTGGTCACAGAATTTTCTTGATTGTCGTGCAGTTGTTTCAGTTGAATTTAAGGGTTCTGGTTGTTTTTCTGCAGTTTTAGTTTCTCTTTTGGACCTATCGTTTCTGTCATTATTGTTGGTGGGAGTAATTCTAAAGGATATAAACAGGATTTATAAAAAAATATTACTTAGCAATTTGATTTTTTGAATTAAACTATGTATATTATTTCTTAATTAAATTAAAAATTAATTTCACTTAATATACCTATATAATTTACAGAGTTTTTGTAAAAATTGGCAATAAATGTTTCTATATACGGTGTGACCCCGGATGGGGTACTGCACTCTTGTAAACTTTTTGTTGATTTTTCGGGAAAAAGTTATTCTTGATAAATAGTTTTGCTTATCTTGGAAACCAATGGCATCAAATATGTAATAAAACATACAGGGCGTTTAAAAAAATTTCAAAATGTAAAATTTTCCCTAAACAAAGTGCCTTTAATTTTTGTTTTCGTTAAAAACTGTATTTAACAAAGTTGTTCGAGAACTCAAGAAATGCTTAAATACAGATTTAGTCAGAAAAGAACAATAATCACATTTTGCAAATAAAAAGACGCAGCAATTTTTAACTACACATAATATTTTATTTACCGACAAATCAACATTCGCAACTAATGGCGTAGTTTCCTCTCTAAATTGTAGATACTCTGGGTTAAAGATAATCCAATTTTTCAATAGTAAAAAATTTAAAAAAGTAAATATCTGGTGTGGCATAATGTAGGTATCATAAAACAATTGGTCCTTACTTTTTGGAAGAAAATCTTAATCAAAATTCGTATTTGGAAACTCACAATAATTTAATTTGGCAGAACTAGGTAGCGAAATTTTAGAGTTCAGAAGAAAAAAAAATAGAGTTCTAGTGAAAAACTGGCTTGACGTTCACTTCTCGAACAAGTGGATCGGACGCTATGGACCAATATCTTAGCCTGCACGGGCACCCGACTTGTCTCCATTAGATTATTTCTTATAGAGATACCTAAAGCAAAAAGTGTATTCAGACGATTTTGATGATAACATTGATTTAGTAATGCAACAAATTCGGGAAACGAGGAGATGATCTCGTCTGTATACAAGGAATTTAAAAAAAAAGATTAGAAAAATTTGTATTACTTGGAGGTTTACTAGTTGACTTGCTTCGTTGTTGTTATTAATTCCAGTTTTAATTTTTTATTTCTATTTTTTAATTATAAAAGCTACACGGCAGTTGTTAATGGCAGAATAATTTCCAGGCCAGTTGCCACCCCGTCGTTTTAGGTTTTTTGACATTTCGAGAGACATATCGCTCTTTTCAAAAACTCGAAAATTTTCAGAGGAAGAGAGTGATACGTCTCTCGAAACGTCAAGAAACCTAAAACGACGGGGTGACAATCAACCCGGAAATTGTTCTATTTTTGTATTATATTAAATTTAAAATAAAAGTTACTTATTTTTTACAACTTGTCTGCTATAGTTAAAAATCGCGTTTTATTTGAAAACTGTGATTATTCTTCTTTTTTGACTAAACCCCGTATTTAAGACAAAAATTAAAGGCACTTTGCTTAGGGAAAATTCCACATTTTGAAATTTTTTGGACGCCCTATATGTTTTATTACATATTTGATTACTGCCCATGGCTTCCCAAGATAAGCAAAATATTTCATCAAAAATAACTTTCTCGAAAAATCAACAATAAAAAAGTTTACAAGAGTGCGGTACCCCATCCGGGGACACACTGTATACACTTTTAATGTCACAAATTACAAAAAATCAAAAGTACCATGGATTGCTTCCAGATTTTGCTTGCACAATTAGTCTAAAATCCCGACTTAGATCGACCTTCACCCATCCAGTTTTCTAATGAAATATGAATTTTGATAATATAATGTATTAATAAACAAAACCTGATTTGGTCGACATCCAATTTCCCTGCACAGCAATTTTTTATAGAAAATTAAAGTTCAATTCAATTAAAAGTTCAATTCAAAATTCAATTCAGTTCAATTCAAATTAATTCAATTCAAAATTCAATTCAATTCAAAATTAAAGTTCAATTCAAAGTTACCTGTTTATACATACCTATCTACCTGGTTTTATGCAAGGAACAAAAAGACCAAAGTTTGGCATATCGTATACATAATTATTTTACTTTCGATTGGTAATAAATTTATCCAAAAACTTAACAACTACATTCATGAAAAAAAATTAACAACTTTAATTTTTTTATTAAAAATAGCTGTGCAGGGAAATTGGATGTCGACCAAATCAAGTTTTGTTTATTAATACATTATATTATTAAAATTCAAATTTCATTAGAAAACTCGATGGGAGAAGGTCTAAGTTGGGATCTTGTACTAATAGAAATAAATAGGAATAATAATTTCTATAATATTTTTGTCGACAAGAAAAATGTACCTAATATTAAAATATTTTTAAGATGAAAAATTCTCATAATATATTTTCATGAGATAATTCCTATCAACACTTTCTAGTTCATATGTATGTAATCATATAACTATTAAATTATTAGAAGTATATTAGCAGTTTTCCCACTTTTGTTAACAAAAAGTGAAGTCAAAATTCTCTCTCATTTGACCTACAAGGGATTAGAAATAGTTCCAATTGTGTATAACTGTATATGATGACTATTAAGAAAATGAAGATGGGTGTTGTATAATGGAAGAATCTGAAACTACTTGTCTTTCGTTAATTAAAGGATCATGAGGAATATTATTAAATATTAATATGAAAACTTAATAATATACTCAAATTTATCTATTTTGAACTGTTATTAAATATTATTTGGCTGTTTTAAACGGTATAGGCTACGGTCTAGCTAGAGCGAACTCCGCGGCGGTCTTTAATATTGAATACATTTTCATTGTTTTTTGGAAAACAATTAGATATTTAGAATGTGAAGAATATAAAGAAAAACATATATTATGCTGGTTTGCTGTGAAAATTTATTTCTCATTTCCATTTCTGATTCTGTCTTCAGCCACACAATTTCTTTAAGATTTTTTCGTTTCTAGATTCAACTCTGTCGCACCAGTGAGCTACCTTATACATATATTTTATGACATTGAATATTGTACTTAAAGCGTTATTATTAATTCAAAAGGCATACTTACGTATTTTGTGAAACTAGGTCATCTTGTAGCTGCGCAACCTTTGGTAACGTTTCGTCTGCTTTTAGAATCGGTAATGTCCTGCTCAAAAATTTCAGCGTCATGTTTCGAATCAGTTCGCTGCAATTAAAAAACATTAGTTTGCCAATTGTAAACAAATGCAGTATAGTATAGACGACTGAGGCCCAAATTCATAGATCTCACTAAAGTTCCACTCACATTTATCCCATACTAAACTCATCCTAATCGTATTCATAAACAATTCTACTTCAATGAGTCGCTTAATTCGTACTCAAATCGCCCTCACAAATTAGTGCTAGGTTAGTGGTGTCTGACATGTGCTTATCCTTATATGTTCCTAATTTATTAATTTTGTGGTTTCATAATATTCTGGCAGTATATTTTACAAATAATTAAGTCTAGGTATTCAATAAAGGATATTCTGTACGTGAACGCTATATAAATTATAATTATTTTTTAGAAATTTGTTCTGTTACATACCTACATCATAAATGATTGCTTGTCAATCATTCTACTCTGTATGAAGTATATTATGTAGTAGGGAAAATGAACTAAATATAATTATTATTACTTGGGATATCATATGAGGATCGTTTTCACCTGGATAATTAATTAGATATTTTGATTTTCATTTTATTATTTAAATGTAATTTATTATGTATACAGGGTGTTAATGAATAGGTGTTACAAACGGATATGGTATGTAAAAAATCCAAAAATAAGTGCAGTTTACTTAATAAACATATGTCCTAAAGCGGCACATTTTCGAGATACAGGGCGTTGAAATTTAAAAATAATAAACTATTTTTTCCTGTAGCTCCGGTATTAGTTAATATTTCTTTATCAAACTCAACAGACAGATTTACTAGCTTAAAGGATGCATAAATATGGCAGAAACCATTTATTGGCTTCTTCTAGTGGCGTGCGATAGGTGTCGTTTCACCTTTTATCCCCCCTAAATTGTGCGGCACTGTACAAATATTAGTTTTTCGTATGTTTTTGAATTTGCTAGTATTTTTTACGTAAATAATGTATACTTGTTAGACTTCCATAAAATGAGTAATTATCAAGTTATTAACATTTACATTACTGAGGTCACCTTATGCTCCAAAAACCAAAAATTTTTAAAAAGTGACATGTTGAGTAAATTTTTCACGAAATTGTTTAGTAAATGCATACATGTGTCGCTTTTTCTTTTTGAGATACAAAACATTCAAGGTTTCCGTATTCCTCAAGCAAGTTTAAAATGTTGGAAAAAAAACATTTGCCGTTGACATTACTTGTATTTTAATGTCAAATTATTTTCGATTGTGAAACGAGGCAGTTTTTAATTATTATTGTTATTTTAGTGTAAAGTTTAGTTTGTAAGTTTTAATTATTAGATAGATATCTTTATCCATTCGTTTAAAACATTCATACATCATGAATGAATATACTTCTGCTGATTATGCAAACATGATATTAATGTACGGTCAAGCGCGTTGTAATGGCAGGGCTGCCCGTCGGTTATACTCAATCCGATTTCCAAATCGTCCAACCCCTTCACATAAGATATTTGGAAGAGTGTTTCGCAGGTTGCAGGAAACAGGAACTTTTACAACAAATAGGGTTAACTGCGGGGTAAGGAGAAACCGCAGAACGATAAGGTTCGAAGAAGAAGTTCTTAATAGGATAGAAGAAAACCAATCCACCAGCAGTCGAAGTATTGCTCAGAATATGCATGTAAACCATGTAAGCGTTTGGCAAGTTTTACGCGAGCAACAGCTTCACGCTTATCATATACAAAAGGTTCAAGCTTTAACTCCCGCCGACTTTCAGCCACGACTAAACTTTTGCCATTGGTTTCTTCAACAGTGTCAGTTGCAAGCAAATTTTCCGCGGTTTGTGCTTTTTACAGACGAAGCATCCTTCACACGAGAAGGGATCTTTAATTCTCGCAACAACCATGTCTGGGCTGAAGAAAACCCTCACACCATTCGCTCCACTAGATTTCAGCAGAAGTTTGGCGTCAATGTCTGGGCTGGTATAATTGACGGGCGCTTAATTGGTCCGCACCTTCTTCCAAATCGTCTTACAGGTCCTATTTATTTAACGTTCCTACAACAAGTACTTCCAGAATTATTAGAAAATGTGCCATTGAACATTCGACAGGAAATGTGGCTGCAGCATGATGGTGCGCCAGCGCACTTTTCGCTTGTTGTCCGAGATCACCTTAATCAACAATTCGGTGTAAGATGGATTGGCCGTGGAGGACCTATGGCGTGGCCACCACGTTCCCCAGACATGACCCCGCTTGACTTTTATTTGTGGGGCCATATGAAGAGTCTAGTTTATGAAACTCCTGTTGAGTCAGAAGAAGATTTGGTAGCACGCATTCTAGCTGCAGCGCAGGAGATCGAAACGACGCCTGGCACTTTTGACCGAATGTACACAAATATGCTTCGAAGAATTAACGCTTGTATCGCTACTGGTGGCCGTAATTTTGAGCATTTACTGTAATTTTTTTGTGCAAAATAAAAATACCTTTTAAACAACTTTAACTTTTTGTATCTCGAAAACTAGCATAGCATAGAAAAACATAGTTTTTGGAGCATAAGGTGACCTCAGTAATGTAAATGTTAATAACTTGATAATACTCATTTTATGGAAGTCTAACAAGTATACATTATTTACGTAAAAAATACTAGCAAATTCAAAAACATACGAAAAACTAATATTTGTACAGTGCCGCACAATTTAGGGGGGATAAAAGGTGAAACGACACCTATCGCACGCCACTGGAAGAAGCCAATAAATGGTTTCTGCCATATTTATGCATCCTTTAAGCTAGTAAATCTGTCTGTTGAGTTTGATAAAGAAATATTAACTAATACCGGAGCTACAGGAAAAAATAGTTTATTATTTTTAAATTTCAACGCCCTGTATCTCGAAAATGAGCCGCTTTAGGACATATGTTTATTAAGTAAACTGCGCTTATTTTTGGATTTTTTACATACCATATCCGTTTGTAACACCTATTCATTAACACCATGTATATTTACAACATGAGTTATTCAAATTCAAAATAAAGAAATACTGTGACATTAGGTATCCACTGATGACATATTTTTGGTAATATTTGAGTAGCCAACTGTTACCTTATCTAGTAATTTGTGGTTTAATGCACACTCAAGTTAGTCACTCATTTATACACATTTCTGAATACTAATTTGGCCCTGAATGGTTGAAAATGACTGCGTACGTGCATGTGTGTGTGCCCGTTTGTGTTTACTTGCAAAAATGGCATAATAATGGACTCTACACGCCCCTGTACCTTTGGTTAGCAAAACGCAAATCCGGAAAAAATCTAAACTGAACTGTGAATATTTATCTATACATACTTACGTTTTTCGATATATTTTCCTCTATGAACATTTTTTTTCCGGTTACTTACGGTTTAACTGCAACAACCAATATATTTAGATATATTGTTGTTTTGAAAGAATATACATATTAGGTGATTCATAACTCTACCGACACAGAGGAGGCATATGGAGAGGATCTTAAAATATGCCAATTTGTTATGTAACATTTTTTTCTGGGATATACCGCTGAAGAGATATTGGCCTCTGAAGATGAGTGTTCAATTTTGAAAAACAATGTGTTGTCATCTTTAATTGATAAAAATATGAATTTGTTCGAAGCGCAATAAGGGCCAGACTAGGAGTGGAGCGCCCTTAAAATGATATCGATTTTTTTATCAGTATGCCAATTATTAAATGGTTTTATCAGTATTACAAGAAATTTAATTTTAAAAATTTGTTTACTTTTATAAACTTTTCGAAAAATTAATGTTAATTATTTTTCCATTTACAATGTCAATTTCAAACTCCAAACACTGTTGTATTTCAACACCTTATATTTTTTGCATGTTATATAATCACAATGAAATCCTCTTTTATCTAATAGGCATTCACATTTCACGTAGTTTTTGAGAAAATTTGATCATATAAACTCTGAATGTAAGAATTCGAATTTTAACTAAAAAAATTAACGTATTTAGACAATCTGTATATTTCGAGATAATTCTTCGTTGAAAACATGTCGAGAAACCCCAGATACAAATCTTTAGATGTCAATTTTGAATTCTTCTCGATAAATTTCCAACCCTTACCGTCGTAATCCACTTTAAAAAGAAAAAACAGTTAGGTGAACCTGACACCTGGTAGGTACCCATATTTTAAGATAGGTACAAAAATTCTTTCTCTATTTGGACAAGTAAGGTTTATTAGTTCAAGTATTTTTTTTTATTTCCGTAATCGATTATACTTATATATGTATGTAATTGAATTGTAGACAATAACTAAAATAATACATTTTTTTTGACTATTTCTCTGTACCTACTTAGTAGTTATTAATATTGTTATAATTTTATCCCTCCTATATAAGTAATTCTTTTTATTTCGAGAACTATGTAGCAGTTATTCTGTCATAGCATTGCGAACAACCGTTACAAAAAACGGTTTATAACTCTGTGTATTTATGGAACAATGCGTTTATGTAGCGTTCTTATTTCAGTTCATAATTTGTGTATGGAATTAATAACAAAAATACTGTTACAAACACAAACGTTAAAATCTTAATTTTGCTTGTTATCCATCACACATACAGGGGTGATCCTCAACAATGTTCGGGTACAATAGAGATGTGATTCTTTATATAATTTATAAATTAACAAACATACGTGTGGAAAAAATGTATGGAATAAATTCATTATTTTCGAAACCGTGGCCTTTTCTGACATTTCCTCGGACACGTCGATTTTGCTTTTTAAAAAGACAGTTTTTCATGTATCCGCGTCTCTTCCACAGTTAATCATTTGCACGTTATTACGTCATCATATATTTTTCAATAGAATCTATAATTTCGCCAGACTTTTGTAAAATAAAAGTTTCTGAATTCAGCAACATACAATTATTATTGGTATTATTTATCAACATCTGGAAATAAAAATTGATCATGATTCGTCCCTGAAATGGGTTTATTTATTGCATGCAAGAAAATGATGAAACTGAATTAATTAGTTTATTAATATCGCTTCAAAATGCCATGAAAATGATATATTTGGACCAAATTTAGGAAGAAATTAGTTTTGACTTATATTAGGGCTAGTTTTCACCCAAATAGTGGATTTTCTGAGAAATATCGAGGTCATGGGTAAATTTTGGCAACGGTATCGTGTTCAGCGTCTCAAAATACGACGAAATTGATATATTTGGACTCAATTTAGGAAAAAACACTTTTGACCCATATTTGGGCCAGTTTTCACACAAATAAGTAGTGAATTTTCTGATAAATATCGAGGTCATGGGTTTATTAATGACATCGTGTTCAGTGTCTAAAAATACTACGAAAATGATATATTTGGACAAAATTTAGGAAAAAATCATCCATATTTGGACCAGTTTCACCCAAAAATTTCACTTTTCTTGACTTTTGACTACAGGATCGTGTTTAGCGCATCGAATTCCTTCGAAAATAAATTATATGTGGCTCTTTTGGGTTTGGACTTTTTTTGGAGCTGTATAATCTAACTAAAACACTAAAAACAAATAAAATTCACTCATTTCATTCTAAATAATATTTTTTTATTATTTTTGACAGAAATTTCAGATAATTTAGGAAACATTAAACTAAGGTAAATGTTTAATTTATTGTTTAATAAATTGTTATTTATTTCGGCAAAATTATAAAATTATATTGGTTGCGTAGAATATAGATTTCACACTAAACTTTTTCTTAAAGGCAAATATGTAACGATTTAAAACAAACACGATTATAGAGCAATACCGAGTATCTTATAGGAAACTATGTCATTTTGACAATGAATGTTCACTAAGCGAAGTAAAATTAGAAATAGGTTTGCTAATTTCAACTCAAAAAGCTTATTTCATGATTTCGCTGTTCGGTTCATTTTAAATAAAATTGGTAAAATTTACCATTTGTTGCCATAAATCTTGCACAGTATTAATTTCTTAAGCATATCTACCAAAGATTTCATGTGTCTCAAGAAAAAGTCTAAGGAATTATAATTCGTATTTCGGGTTCATATAAATTAGCTTCCAATCCAACGATAAAGAAAATGACATTTTAGGTAGTCTCCATAATGGAAAATGGAGCGGGCGCCATCCTGTATGAATTACATGCATAGGTACATTCTTTGATTAACTGGTAATCGCTCTAACTCCTGAATAATGTAGTTTGAGGGAACTTTAAATATGAGTTACCATCCAAAACTTCGTACAGTTTTTAAGCTCATTAAGCTACCTACATCCGAAAATGTATCAGATTTAATTTAAATACATATTGGAAATGTGCCTCTCTGATACATGTGGATTCTCAGTGTCACAACTGTGATTATTTCTCCAATTAAATATACCTCTATGAAGAACAGTGGCTTCATCAGTAAAGAAAACATTGTTAACAAGATTGTTTCAAGCATTCAATGCAACTTTCTGAGTAAATATGTTGAAATGATCATTGTAAATATGAACAATAAATTAAACATTAAAATCAGAATATTATGTAACTCAATGTTTAAAGTCAATTATCTAAAAATAATCACTGTATGGCTATGAAGTGTAAATACATTATTTAAGAAAAAAGAAAATTAAAATTAAAACAACACAATAAAATGGCAATTTCTCTTGTGGCGCAGAATTTAGAAGGTGGAAAATACTCCTTTGTCCTGCCTTACCCCTCTGGTAACAGCGGGAAACTATCTTTACTATGTTTTACTTTTTTATGTTTGCTAAAGCACTTTAACCTCAAATCTGATAAAGAAATATGCTAAACAGTATCAAAATAATGTGAAAAAATAATATGATACATTTGAAATAATACAAATTGTTCACTTTATCTGTTTTAACTTAAATATATAAACTTATAGAGCCACAAAAAATTGTTTGGATCGTGGATCAGACCGAATCTAAAGTCAGAATCAGTTCGTGTTTTGATCTTAACATCATGAAACTGCTCTAGAAAGCGTTTTTCAGGATTTCAAACTGACTTGAGTAGTTAGTGATCGGAAAAATATTGTAATTCATTATATCATTGGACCATAACCCCATGATTATATAACCTCATAAGCCCGTAGCCCCAAAACCCCTTAACCAGTTATTTTCAGTGTAGATACAAAGAGAAAAAATCTCAAGTAAATTTATAACATAAATCTGTATGCCCCAGATCATTAGATTACAGATTACAATAGGATTATAGACTCGATTCTTCAGAGTTTCGTGGTTATACATTCTCGCTCACACAGAGTTATGGGGTTAGAAAAGTCTGCTAACCCATAGTTATGTAGGTTACCAAACTATGGAGTTATGGGGTTCAGGTGCAATGAATTTGAATGTTTTTCCAATCACTGACTACTCAAGTCAGTTTGAAATCTGGAATACTTTTTAGAGGAGTGTCTTTGAAACACCCTGTATGGCCAGCGTGTGCCAAATTCGATACCTACATGACAATTGTGTCTTGATTATTAGATGTGATACAAAGGTAGATATACAAAGATATTAGAAAGTTTAGCAGTTGCCATTGCGACAGTAAATGAATTCCAGAACAATTTTAAATAGTCGACTGTTTCTATTATCAAAAAGAATGTTAAAAATAACTATTTGAATCTGTCTAGAACCATCCACTGTCTTTAACGCTGCATCTTTTATTTGAACATATATTTTCTGGAACTGAAGAACGGATTTGTATAAATACCCTTACTTACAATGGGTATGGAGATCCCAGCACGTTTTGTCCCATGGGGTTTCTGGGAATTGTTCCCTTGTTTAAGTCACCGCATAAGTTGAATGGTGATACGTGTGGAGTCCTATCCTCGTCCTCCCTGCAGTCTACTGGGGTTTGCGTATAAGGAGGCGGTCTCACTCTAGGGGGCTCCGCATTGGGGGACTCTACGAAAGCGTAGTATCCTTCAGGGGGCTCCTCAATTTCATTTGATGAATTTTCTGCAGCTTCTAAGCACGCCGCACATAATAGAAGGCTCTGCGAAGAAGGATAATGAAACTAATTATTGAAATATTTTAGCCCAGTCAAAAATATCTCGTAATGAGAAAATAGACAATTGTTTATTTTTTCATTATAAAGAGTGCACAATCTTTAAGGAGACATTCGTTGGGTAAAAATAAGAAAAAATCTAATGTAAATTTTTTATAAACATTTCAAAAACATATAGTGAGAGTTTCAAAGCCGCACAAAAATTCTTTTCTTAAGGGGGGGATTTAGTATGTATATTTTTACCGTGTAACAGAGCTTCAGATGAGGACACAAATCATCGAAGAAATTAACATAATTGGATATTATTATATATCAATGTATTCGCAATGGTTCCCGCTAGTGAGTAAGATAATTTTCAATGCTCATGAGAACAGAAGAATAATTTAAATAAATGCCAAATTTTAACCATACTGTTAGTCTGTAAATATATTGCATTTACGACGGAACTAGGTCAGGCACAATAACCAAACTACTTCACTCACTAGAACAGACACCTAGGATCATTTGTATTTAATTTTCAGATTAATATTTATTAATAATTCTATAATTTGTGTCCTCGAGTAAAATGACAACATTTTACAAGATCGTCGATATTTAGTCTATCTGTAAACCAAAATTTTCGTGAACCCTACTGAACATGAAATCTTCTAGGCATAGTTTAGTTTGTATACTATCTCACAGGTGTCGCTACCCTTGAAAATGAAATTAAACACAGGGTGGGTTTATTATAAAAATAAAGCATAATGGTCTAATATTATCTTTGATATGCCATTCTCTTTCAAATCATTATTTTTTGTTTAACGGACTTATCAGTTAATCTAAAATCACAAATAATTTTTCAATAGCAGAAATTAATAAAGAACAACAACAATTTGTGCTTCCACGTATTAGAAACCGTAATAAAAGTAAGTATGGGTAATTTTTTAAAAGTACCTAAGTAATAAGATTTTGTAAAGCTTAAGTAGTACGAAAATATAACGCATAAAAAACCAATAATATGTATTAATTTTTCTTTATTAATAATAAAGATTAAATTTTACCTACAGGGTGTCCCACATAAAATCGTTATTTATGTTCTAGCCTTGGTAGCTTCAAAATAAATTTACAGCTTAAAAATTAGTCTGGCTCAGGTAGATTTCTTTTTCAATCTACAAATCAGTAGCTACCTACTTACCGATAAGAAGGAAACCACTGGATATTTAATGAAAAAGTGACCACCTCAAAAGTAATTCATTCTTGAATATGAATATAACTAACACAATTTTAATTTCATATTGTCTTAAACTTTTGCTTATCACATACCACTTCAGTCACTTAGTGTAATACAAAAAAAAAAACATTGAATTTAAAATGTTTATTTTTTTAATTTCTTTTCTTGGGTTTCCATTAGGTATACCTACAAGTCGGGTCTTTACATTTCCTTTTTTGCCTTCTTAAAATGAACTAAATGCAAATAGTAATAATATAAAGCAAAAGTCTGATGTAACTGGGAATTCCAGAACAAAATATTTTTCAAATATGCTCCTTATGTCCTATCGCGTTGCAAAAAATATATATTTTTGTATTTTCTGTTAAAGCATAACCGACATAGCGGCACTAAAACTTTGCTGCCCTGCGTTACTCCTCGATGTATACATGGTGAATCATTCAAGAGGATCACCATGGGTGTCTCGCTTCTCTTTTATTATAAGAGATTAGAGTTGTGTCGAGAGGATTTAAACCGGGTCCGGTCTTTTCATTTAGACCCGGTTTTTTCAATAATTTAAATGTCGCGCCATTTTATGGTCTCAAAGCAGATTAAAATGTCAAATATTGACCCCACCCTACTTAGGTACTGCAAAGCTCTCAAGTTTTTAAGAATTTTAATTTTTAATTCTGTACCTAATATTAATAAATGCGTCGAGGCAAAGACATAGTTTGGAAATTCTTTGATTGCATAACTGATACCTAACCCTTTTTATACAAAACAGTTAAAAAGAGGGTTTGGGTTTAAACCGGGTCTTTTCAAATGGGTTTAAACCGAGTTCAAACCCTCAAAATCAAAAGACCCAACCTTTTCCCATCTCTATAAGAGATACTTACAAATTTGGTTAAATTAGAACAAAGTTACGCAATTAGGAGGCTAAAAATATGGTACCAAGAGGTCAAGAATATCTCAATTTATTTTTGAAATACATATTTGGGAAAAACTGACATTTTTAAAAATATAATTAATTTATTTTTTCTTGTCAAACACACACCAAACAACAAGTTTAAATTTTAACGTTTCGTTCTTTATTTGGCCTTCCATCTTCAGGTCCTAACATAGATTTGTATCTCTTTGTTTTGAGTTTTGGCTCAGTAGAATATTTAGAAGACCTTTTTGTAAGGGTTAAACTTACGTTTAAATGCTAAATTTAAAAAATTGTAGGATAACCAAGTTAATATATCTTGATATATCAACTAAGAAATGGTGTCAAAGAAAAAATAACTATCTCATACTTTTGAAACTTAGTATTTTAATGTAGTTTGGCTTAAACCCTTATAAAAAAGCCTTCTAAACATTTAACTGATCCAAAATAAAGAGTTTTGGAAGTTTGGACACCTGAAGATGGAAGGTCAAATACAGAACGAAATGTTAAAATTTAAACTTGCTGTTTGTTGTATGTGAAAAACATCATGAATTGCTACCAAAATTGCAACTATACTTAAAAAAATTAACCTGATGATAGCCCCAGAAAGGCGAAACGTTGTATAAGAAATCGGATAGAGGGCAAAAAGTGTCAATGAAGATGTGTTTGCAGATTTTCAATATTGTTTCAAATAAGGCTAGGTACAAAAAAGAAAATAAAATAATTGCTTTTTTTCAGTTTTTTGCTTATATTTCCAAAAATAAGCCTCTAATCGACATGAGGTATACTTATTGATTTTGTTCCTGAGGAAATTTGCTACAAGGGTAGGCTTTTGCGAAAGTTCGCAAAATTTTTTTTATATTGCAAAATTAGCGGTGAATAGAAAAATGTACTAAATTTTCAGAATTAAATAAAAATAACAAATTTGACTGAAATTGGATGAAACTACAGGAAAAGATAACTGTTGGGGTGCTCAACAAATACCTGCAATCCGGACCCCAAAAAAAAAATGGCGGCGTATTGCAAAATTATATTGTCGAAAACGCTAGCGCGTGTATCTTCTGCCCAAGTCAAGATATCGAAATTCGACAAGAAAGGATCTAAAGGTAATTACATTATCTCGCGTCTGTGTAAATTTCAGATTTTTAAGTTGCAAAATAAAAAAATTTTGCGAACTTTCGCAAAAGCCTACCCTTGTAGCAAATTTCCTTAGGAACAAAATCAATAAGTATACCTCATGTCGATTAGAGGCTTATTTTCGGAGATCTAAGCGAAAAACTGAAAAAAAGCAATTATTTTATTTTCTTTTGTTATAAACAATATGACGCTCGACATCTACAAATACACAAATTTAGGCTTTTATTCTGTGTATTTTTTACTTAATTTTAAACCCATAAAATTCGAGGTAGGCCCGATTATTGAAAAAAAAACCTAATTCGCCCGGACTACTAGGCTTATTTTATTCATTTCAAAATTTAGAAATAAAAAGTTGTCATTCTGGGAACAATTGTTTATACAAATTTTGACTTTTTTTATGAACAAGTATTTGTAGAATAAGCTTTACAAGTCGCTTTTTCAGAGCACTATATTTCATTTTTGCAATAAGTATTTCGTTCTAAAAAAGTTTTTTTTCTGTTCTTCATTAGTATTATTTTTGGTTTTCCATTTAAAAATTAAAGTAAGTAGCAAAAAAAATAGTGTATCTGGCAATTGAATTCAGATCCACTATAACTGCAGGCTAATTATATTTGAAATCGCATTATATTCGAAACAAGCGCACCTGCTAGAGCTTCGAGTCAACCGATACATGTAGCGTGCGCGTACTCCCCAAATGCCTTCCCCTCTCTTGCTTAGTTAGAATGTCCAAAACATGACATAAATTTATTTAATTTTAATAAGCAATAGCATAAAATCGATGTAAAATTTCCCTGGGAACACGATGGTGCAATTATTTTTTTGCTACTTGCCGTAGTTTATGAGATATTTGCGAAAAACCTTATTTTTTACGTTTTTTTGACCTTTTGACCCCTTGCCTGACCACCTAGGTCAAAAATTTTTGCGGATTCGGATTACGCGTATATTATTAGACTTCTATTCGTCGTCGTTCGGTTAAAAAACACACCTTGAAGCGTTGGCCGCTAGAGCAGCACTTGCCGGGGTCTCGTTTCGTGACTCACGCTGGGCGATATTTTTTGTACAAAATCCCGTCCTTAAGGTAATGCTTAAATTCAGTAGATATTTATAAAACCAGTGCCATAGATGGGTGGAAGGAACTCTCGGAGTAAATTTATAATAATGATTGAACTTTCCATTTGCTTTACAATAGGAACGTTAAACTGTGCTTACATCTTTTTATGTTTAGTTTAGAACTATTTGTTATTATGTGTGTATATCAACTTATCAACCATATTCAGATTTAATATTATTAACCTCTTCATTAAAATTCTTTTAAAAAATTGTTGTTTCTGTTGCAAAAGAAATAAAAATTATTATGAGGCTATTTACTTCAAAATCTATGAAAATACAAAGAATTTGATAATATCAACTCTAAGTACGTAGATATTTTTAAAAAGTCAGATGCAAAAGTTATACTTCACAGTAATGGCTGACCTCCATGTATCTACGGTAATGATAACTGAAATGCAGACTTACTAGTACATTTTTGTAAGTACCAAATGAAGGCATAACCGTATCAAAGTTTGTTACTGAAAAATTTGTTTTAATTTGAAAACTTATATCTTGAAAACTCTGCATTTCCAGAACATGGTCTATATAATTTTTTTAATTATTTTTATTCGAAGAATGTGTATTATTATGAACTGAGGAAAACAATTTTATTTTTTGTTTAATTTCCTGAATCAACTCTTTCACTTGTTT